ATTCTGACTTAGGAGGTATGAGACAAGGCCCAGCAATCAAAAACTTATCCCAAGGTAGATTTCATGTAGTTGATCTGCAGAGCACATTTGGAGAAACACTGTCTAGTTCCATACCAATCATTAATCAGCTCCTTCAGTATGGCCAGTCAGGCACAATCCACCCAGCTGTCTTCACACCCTGCTCACGTTACTGCCACTCTCAGGAAATTACCATGAGAAAGAAATCTAGTCTAGTGAATTCCAATCACGCAGGTGCTACTGCATTTCCTGCTCTGCCAGTCCTGCTACCTGTAAAAAGAAATGTTGCAGACATAGTTTGTTCTTAGCAAACCTCTTCAGTGTGTTGACAATCCAGTTTGCTTTATTCTCCACGCCTACAATCTATTCTTTAGTTCCTGATCCAGAATCTTGCCAGGATTTTAGGGTCAAGCTCACCAGTTGGTACTTAACAGAACCAACTTTTCTTCACCTTTGGAAAACTAATAATTTGGAAAATCTGTTATCTTTTAAAAGCTATCAAGGATCATGGACAGCAGCAAGTTCTCTCTTCTGAATCTATCTTGGAATGTAATTCATCTGGGCCAGAATACCTGAACCCATTTAGAGCAGCTTCACAGTGTGGAGCTTTCATTCTTCCCTACCAATGATCATTCTACCCTTTTCAGATGAAGATGATTTTTCTTGAAAGTTCTGCTTTCTCTACATCATCCATCAGCAATATGTCATCAGTTCCAAATAGCAGATCAATTCCCTCTATCATCTCTTTCTTGCTCTAAACATAACTTCAAGTACCCCAAGTCTTCCTTAGAAATTCTTGCAAGTCCCTACTCATTGGAAATTTTATTTTCTAGTTGCTATTCTTACAGATCTATACCTCCTTCTTACATTTGCATTAATTTGACTTTATCTTTCCTTTTTTTAAAAAACTGATTTCAATGTTAGAATTGGATAATATACATAAAGACATAGAGGTTTGTTAGGCTACCTTACTACTTTTGAAGTTCTCCAAAATAAGAAGTCAAATAAATATATCTGAATATATAAATACAAATTAAACACAAGTGTTTATGTAAATAGAGAGGGGAGGGGGAAAGGGAGAAAGAGAGGGAGGGATCTCCCATTTCTTCTTCATTTTTATCCCTAAACATTCTTTTATTGGTTGGAATAATTTGGTTTTAAAGTCTCATTTGCACTTTCTCTGCACCTCCCACACATTTTCATTTATCTTCCAGCCCAGATTCCTCTGCCATTTTTCTTCAACTGCCTTTCCTTTGGACTGCTTGAAATCCATCTATCAAAAGTCTAGGATATATTCCAAATATGTCTGTTTCTCTCTTCCTATCAGGAATACAAATCTTAAAAGGTGGTTCATTTTTCGTTTAGGACTACATTAGTTCTGCCATCAGTCTTCAGGACCGTGGTTTTCAAAGTGTGATCATTGAGCCAACACCACCAACATCACCAACGAACTTGTTAGAAACACAAATTCTTGGGTCCCACTGACCTACTCTATCAGAGTGCCTGTAGACGGGGTCTGAGAAACTCTTCAATATAAGTCCTAGGTATATTACAGTTTGACAACCACTACTCTAGGAGAGGAAACGGTTCCAATTCAAAAGCTGTCAGACAATGTGCTTTTAACCAAATGTGATTTCTATCAAGTGCCTAAATACTGGGAGTCCCTCATGCTACTGTATACATTAACATTTGTGACTGTTTCATGTCTACAACTAATCACCTTTTCCCTTGGCCAAGGGACACAGAGCACACTTCCACTTTTATAACTATCCCATTTCTCTCATTTTATTTATATTTTCAAAAGATTTTATTTTTAGTGAGAGGGGAAGGGAGGGAGAAAGAGAGGGAGAGAAATAGCAATCAGCCACCTCTCTTGGTTGCCTCTTGTGCGGACCCTCACTGGGGACCAAACCTGCAACCCAGGCATGTGCCCTGACCAGGAATTGAACCAGCGACTTTTTGCTTTACTGGATGATGCCCAGCCAATTGAGCCATACCAGTCAGGGCTCTCTCTTGTTTTAAATACTACTCTAGATAGTGTCTAGCATCATTCCACTTACAGAATCTCATTGCAGGTATAATTTCTTGTCATATCACACTATTCTATTTCTCCCTTTGATGTATCTGAGTCTATAATGAAGATGTCCTTCTGTTGTTACATCCAAATGGTAAGCACAAATCCAGAAAGTCACCAAGATAGTCACGAGATATTTATTTCCCTCCTTTATCATCTCAACTGTATTTTGTCATTCAAAATTGTATGTTGTTATGAAGGTATTAAAGCTTCTGAGTATTATGTCCAGCTAGTTTCCATATCCTTGTCTTTTGTGAATCCCTGGATACCGCCTCCATTTATCCTGCTTACTATGTCTTACTTTATGTCTAACATAGTTTCATCAGTTCATCTACTTGTTTTTCTCCTTTGTAGTAGTATTCAGTCTAAAACTGTCCTAACCAGATCAGCTGGTTCCCAGGAAAACACACACAGGAGATGTGCTCCATCCCTCCCTCCATAGTCTGCCAAATTCAGCAAAAGATGATGATGATTACACTAACTGCAAGCTTTTCTTTCTAAGATTTTAAATGAGTGCTTTTATGATGATGATAAATAAAAACCAAAGCTGTGGCCAGAAAGGGACAGGTAGGGCCAGAAATGTAGCAATTAATACAAATTTAATAGCTTGGTTTTTAAAAATTCTTTACTTGAGGTTATCCTTTTCATTGATTCTTTTGTAAGCAAGAGTATAACAAAAACTACTGTGTTATTAAAAAATGATTTGCTTTCAAATCAATATATCTTTGATCAAAATTTTCTTCTACAGAAGTGGGAAAAAATGGACTCAATTGTGTATTCCACTCTGAATTATGAGATAACTAGCACAAATCAATTTCATGTATATTAAAATATATATTCTACACATAGACAAATAAGTTCTAAGTTTTACAAGATCTAAATTGAAAACCATATTGTACAAGTAACATGTCACTAATGAAGTTACAAAATTTATATTCAAAATGCAAGAATAGTCTGAAGATGTGTACTTTCTTTATATTGGGATGTGTAATAAATAAGTTATATCTAGTCTGGCCCATAACATATCCCAACACCAAAGAAGTAATAAAAGACAACAGTAAAAGCAACAAAACATAACAATAAAAGAAAATCACAGAGTGAAACATAAGTACAATTTGCACAAGAAATCTGGGTTGTGAAAATAATATGCTGTATATAAAACTGCATACTTTCTAAATAAGTATTCTTTTTAAGAAATGAATGGATAAAAATGTACTACTTATTAACAAAAAGGAAAACAATGAGTTACTTAACATACTAACCTGTATTAATTCCCCATAGGAATAGTCACATATTTCTGCTCAATAGTTTAGTGGTTAAAATCAGTTAAAAAAATAAGTAGAGTTTAAGCAGAGTAATTCTATTTTTTAAAATGGAATCTTCTATTTCTGATATGAAATATAAATACTCCATAAGTATTCAATAAGTATTAAATCAACATCGTTAAAATCATCACATAAGTGATAAATATGGACAACACAAATTTTAATATAAAAGATATAAGCCTTGAGTAGTTTTGTGCTAAGATATATAACCATACTTGGGAAATATACAATTGACAGTTGAACAAAGGAGGGGTAAAAAGGGTGCCCCCTCCTCCCACAGTCAAAAATTGGTTGGTAACTTTTGACTCCCCCAAAACATTAATAGCCTGCTGTTTACCAGATGCCTTACCAATAATATAAAGTTAACGCATACTTTGTATGTTATATGTATATTATATACTGTATCCTTATAATGAAGCTAAAGAAAAGATGTTATTAAGAAAATCTTAAAGAAGAGAAAATACATTTACAGTGTTTATTGAAAATAAATTGTATATAAGTGGACCTGCACAGTTCAAACCTTCATTGTTCAAGGGTCAACTGTACTTATTCCTATTTTTGTTATTCAAATACTGCAACTTTTTGTGAGTCACTTAGCTTTTGGAAATCTGTTTCTCTCTATGAACTTTGGACCCTGATGATGACCTATCAGTGAGAAATGCTCTGATGATTGACTAGAAAATGACTTTGTGTTTATAAACCTCAGTATATCATCCCCTTTACTCTTCCATTTGCTTAGTTATCTAGTCATCAATAGAGGTGCTACTTAAAATCATCTACTCTTTTTCACTTCTCAGCTCTTATCTACCATTCAACAAGTTTTAAGTCAATTTTCAGCCTTTTAGGGGCTAACAAACATGCTCACCCAAAGAAAACTATGGGTATAAGACACAATGTTCTGGTGATGCTTCGGGATTCTTAATGAAAAGACACCTTATACATATAAATAAGTAGATACATTTAGAACTTATTGTTATAATTTGGGATTACAAAGGCCATTCTCCTTATACCTCATGTAACAGTATTAACACAAATAGGTTTGTTTTCATGTCAGTTTTGACACACAGGAATGTTACAGTAGTGACTTTTTTACTAACAAAGGGAAAGTTATTGTAAAATAAACATAAGATTATTTACCTTTATACCATTGACTGAAAGAAGTGCTATTGTTTTATATTTTACTCCAGAAAGTAAGATTGACCATAAATAAAATATCTCTATCCCAGAACCATTATAAAATGTATACCTCACCCATCTCCCACCCTCAAACCTCTGGATTCCTGGTTCACAGAAAAGATCTCTGACCACACAGAGCTAACCCTCAATGAATGTATTCTACTGAATGAGGACCTTTTAAGAAGATGGCAGTCCTGTGATGAACATACTAATGTGAACCAATAATTCCTTTATTCATCCATTCACTCAATATCATCAAGCAGCTATAATGTAATGCTTTCAATCACTCAGTAAGTAAACAAAATGTAAAAAATATAATATGGTAAGGAATATTGCTACATTTGTATTTTTTTAGAAACTTCTAGCAGGCATTTCACATATAGCTTTATGCATGTAAATGACCTTACCTCTCTTACGGATAGCTGTGGTGGGAAGGAAACTGAAAATACTAAATTGGTGAATTCAAATCCAGAGGCCTCAACCTTTTGGCACACCTAAAAAATTATCACAAAAAAATTATTTTTTACACATAAAAAAAATGTATTATATAAGTTACTAGGAATTGCTAAAAAATTTTATAATAATCTTTATAACAAATTTTTCATTCAGGAGATGACACTGCAAGACCTCCCAACTTTCCCCTTTGAGTAGGGAACTCTCATAAACACCCTGAAATCAAATATTTGCTAACCATGACCCTGAACACTGACATCACCAAAAGAGTCAGCACTCACCTGCAGAACAATCTACCGAATGTCAAAATAGTTTTCTATTAAGTTACCGCACAATTTAGAAAACATTTTAAACAAAGTAAAGCCAAATATGGCATTCTTGACAGCTGGGAAAAAAGGCAATGCCACATTCAAACATGTACCTCCCACAAGGCTGTAATTTTTGTCTTTTCTAGATATTAATAGGTATGACTAAGAAAGAGCTTTCCTGTAACTTCCTACTTCTGCTAAATAGCAAAAGGAAAGCTGCTATTTTTTTTTTCATTTGAATAGCACTCATGACTGAAATAGATGAATGGATATATATTTCATTAATTTTCAGATATCATGTTGATAAAAAGATAATTTGAGATAAAAAAGGTTTTCATTATTAAAGATAAATTAAGAAAATGTTTTAATAATCCATTGGTGTAAAACAAGTTGAAATGAATGGCATTGTTCCTGTAGATACAAAAATTCTAGGTATTGAAACTGAAAACCTCTATATGATTGCACATATAATAACAAAAGACAGATTATTTACCTTTTTAATGAACTCTTTTTCACAGAATTCTTGGAGAATTCCTAAGCATACGTTGCACACATTTAAATTTGAGTTCTTGGAAGTAATGCTTCCCTCTTCAATACCGGAGACCCTTCCCTCTCCGTTTTGACTCAGATTATCAATCCCATCTTCTAATTCATGTAGTCGCATTTTCTTGGGAGGTGGGTTTGGAACTTCGAAATTTAATTCACCTTTCTCAGTTTCCAGAAATTTCTGTAGTTCATTGAGCAACTCCTGGAAAGTTAATTTAAAAAAAAAAAGTAATAACCCTAAGGGTAAGATGAAGCCCAAAAATAGGAGTATTATATGACAAATTTACCTAATGTTGATTTACATTAATTCTAGAGCAGTGAATTAATTTTATTAGCCAGCATTGGCTTTCTGGAGAATTTAAGAGAATTACCTAACTTCTATAACAGATGTGTGAATATTTTTTCAAAGGGGTTTCATATATCAGTGAAGCTAAAGTCCTAAATCTGAGGCGGAAAGGCTCCATTAAGAAATATTAAGAAATTTATTAATTTGGCTTGTAGTTCTGATGTGGGGTCATTCACTTGCTAATTTCAGTTAAAGAAAATCCTTCAATTCTAATTATTAACAAATAGACATACAAACTGATTTTCCATTATTGCTAGGTGATTTCATAATCTCACAATCACTAAAACCTCATGTACAATATTTATTTAATGTGAAATCTGAAAAATGAGACAGAGATTAGAAGTCTATTCACTAAAAATAATTTCAAGACAATTTACTAAAAAAGGTAAACAGATACTGGCAATGCTGAAATTTGGCACCATAATTACAAACCACTTATACGCATTAGTTGAAAGAAGTCCTCCACTATTGTACATTCTGGTTTGCCTAATTTTTGTCACCCTTTGTCCTAGAATATTAAAAGTAGCATTCCTTTTGAACCCATTCTCATGTTTCAGACATTCTACTTATCTAAATACTCAGAGAATTTTCCTCTGTTTTGTCTAAATTAAACAGGTTTTATTATTCAGTTGTTGAATAGGTATTCCTTTAAATTCACTGAGATTACAATTTACTGACTGTAAAGGGAAAAGTCTTTCACTCAAACAAATTTAATTCATTTTATTAAGGCATTAGCTCTTCTATTTTATCTTTAACAGAGAAATATTCATATATACACACACAGGTATATTATGATCCACATAAATGTTTATTACCTAAGATGTATAATGTCAGTATAACATAGTACATATATATGTATGTGTACATATATATAGTTATATGAATAGAACAGGTCAAAATTTAAGTACATTTTCCAAAAAAAGTCTTCAAATATTTTCATATTTACACAAGATTATACAAACAAAAGTTGGTAATGCTGTCTCTTATATAATACATATTTTAAAACTTACAACATATGCATAGAATAATAGATTCTAATGTGTCTTTAAAAATGTGTAAGAGAAGTTCCACAAAACCAGTTTTATTACTCTATAGTCAAAGTGTGTATAAATAAATATACACATATACTAATCATCATAGCATATGTACCATTTCCAGTTTTCAAAGTGTTTTCACATACTTTATTAGATATTGTCCCTTAAAATCCTGGGAGGTGGATGTTATCATCATTCCCATTTACAGAGGAGAAAACTGAAGATGGAAAGTGGTGGAACTGGGATTCAAATCCATGTCTTCCAGCTCCAAATTCTAGGCTTTGGATTCAGACAGACAGTTCATATCCTAGCTTGCTCACTTAAAAGCTGTGTAACTTTGGGCAGGTTGCTTAACCTCTCTGTGCCTCAGTTTCTTCATCTGAAAATAGAGACAATCATAGTATGTACTTACCTAATAGGTTATTATGAGGATTATATGAGAGCTTGACATATAATAATGCTATATGAATATTAGATATAATTATTATCTCAAAATAATAGAAACAACTAATACATAGGAAAAATGACAACTATTGCTAACTCCTGGGCAATTTTTTAAAATTATAAGAAACTGAGTGTGCGTGCATGTGTGTGTATGTGTTTTGACTGTTTACATAGCTATATATTTACATATATATAATTACTATCTGCCTCTGAAAAGAACATCACTATTAGAATCAAATATACTTCACGAAATGTTATATATTTTATGAAAAAGTATTCTATTAAATGTCAAAGCTCTCTGTATATTATAATAAATGTCAAAGACCCCTGTAGATTACTTTTGTTGTTATTTATAGCAGTAAATAATAATTTAATAGCATTTATTTCTAGAGGGTTGCAAATATCTATTTGTAAATGAAATAATATAGAAAACAGAAAAAGGAAAAATGCAAACAAATCCACAATGCTTCCACTTAATAGGTTTAAGGACTATCACATCCTCCTGTTACAACTTACTAATATCTGGTGAGCAACATCACTTTGTGATATTTTGTCTAGATACTCTTTAGAAAAGGTCTATACAAGCATTAAATGTACCAGGGAACTGCTCCACTAAGATTCCACTATATTAAGTGTCAAATGTAATTGCTTAAGAAGAAACTTACATTTTTACAGTAATGCAAATTCTAAAATTAGCAGTCAGTAATTATTTTATTATAGTTTTTTTAAATTAATGAAGAGCTATGAATAGACTTTCCCTCAAATGTACAGGTATTCATTTAAAAATAAAGAAATGTTCTTAACTTTTAAAAAATGAAAATACCTTGTAGGACAGTTTGTAAGGTGCATGAAAATCCACACCACAGAATCTGAAGATACATCTTGGACATGTACCAGTATTGAACAACAGCTGGGCCACATGCTTGTTTTTCTCAGTCAGTGGAAACATATTGAATAATTATAACTAGAAAAAAATAAAAAGTAAAACTAATGAGCATCTTTTGTGTTTTACTTTCACAGAAAAATGTATCATCACCTTTAAGGATAAAAAGTAGCTTTTATTTGAAAAACACGATTTTGTACTCTCCAATAATGTCCCTTTCATTATATGTATATTGAAACATAAGCATGAAGAAATTTATTAGATGAATCAGATACATTTCTAATTGTCAAGGGGTTAGTTTAGCAGTCTGGATTATGATGAAGTACACCAATATAACTAAATCAATCAAAAGAAATAAAAATCATAAAGAACAGTTGTCTCTGAAGGGTACTGAAAACAAGAGTACAGAGTAAAATTTTGCTTTTATTTTGTACCATTGACTATTGTTTGAGAACACAGAGTAGTAGATTCAATAAACTTTCCCTATTTGGTATTAAAAATTAGTTCACTAGAAAAATGTCAGATAAGTTAGTTTATATAATACTTGACTAACCTTAATGATAGTTTAGCAGTCAAGTATTTAAGGCAAAGTGATGATCCAAAAACATCAATTTTACTTTATGATATAACTAAATGACAATTAGCAAAATAAGAAAAATCTGCTTTCATGCACAAGTAAAACCTCCAACAAAAACACATTAAATGCAAAATATTTCAGAGTAATTAATTACTGTCTGAAACAATTTGCTACCTTTTGTAATTTGAATAAATTCACTTAGAAACAAATACTAGAGAACAGTGGAAATCCAATATAATTCTCTTGTTGCCAAGAAGGGGAGTTACTAAATTACCTAATCATTCTGTTTGGCAAAAGTAGATAGTCTTCTGATTAATGAATCAGTCCACATTAAAATGAGGAACTAGCAATGTCGTTGTATAGCAGTTTTGGTATGGTATAATTGTGGTCACATTGATAAAAGACAGTGGCACCTTTTAATTTTCGCAGCTTCATAATTCAAATGAACATGAGTAAAATTTGTAGGAGGGTGAAGCTCTTACCAATTGCTTACTATGAAGATGCCATTCTTAGAGTAAGTTTGTGTTTTTCAGCCCTTTAAATGCACTACTTGTAAGTTTCTAAATGTTTGTGGCCACATATCGAGAGTAGAGCCTTGATACAAAATAATGACCCCTCCTTTCCATTAGTTAAGATCAAGGATTTCATTTAATTCAGGATTAACCTTCAACTCAAAAAACAAACAAAAAAACAAAAACCCTTCTTCCCCAATAAAGTGAGGAGTAAGTACTTAAAAAGGGCAATTTGTATGGAAGATTTCCCTGGGGACTTAAGTTAAATAGTTTCAATAAAACGTTTACTTTCTTTCTTTTGGCAAAAGACAATGTTTATTTCTCCAATAGTTTCCCTAGAAATAAAGGTATCATGCAAGGTCAATTAAATGATACATTATAATTTCTTGGCTCTGAGAAGTCCCCAGATACGTTGAGAATTAGGAAACCTCCTTCTTGAGTAATTTGAAGGGGCCTTAAACAAAAATCAAACAAAACACTCTTAAGTGTGTTACCACTTGAATGGTTTTACAAACTTCTCGAATCATTTTCACTTAGCAACAGTTTAGAGACTTAAATACGTTAACATTAAAAGAAGGAAATAACGTTATGCCTTAAATTTGGTTGTCTCATCTTAATGTACAGAGCTGAAATGACAGGATTTTCTAGGACAGCAGAAATCGGTCGTTCCATATGAGGTTTGTTACCTTTGAAAGCAAGCCATGAAAAATGTATCCCATACAGCAAGGTTTTCGTTGTTGGTTACCTTTAAGATTTTTGCTTTTCGTTTACGTGTTTAGTTTACGGAAAGAACTGGAACAAGTCATTGCAACAGAACCTCCTCCCCCGCGTCAGAATCCCTAAGGGGACAGAGTCCCTTCTCCACAAACCAAGCATAACCGTCTCTCGTTGACTGGAGGAGAGGTTGAACTTTCTTTTCACCTCTCGGAATGTTACAGAAATCATTCACTGCAAGTAGGGAAGGAGCAGGGCATGTGAAAAAGCACCGTAACGACCAGGCTGTCTCACATCCCGTGATCTTTTAAAAACTCATTCTATACTGAAGGGTGTCATTTGTCTCGTGGCGGTGGGGGTGGGGTGTGAATTTCTAAAGAAGGAAGCACCCCACAACTGCATTTTGCAACCAATTACACTCAGCTTTGAAATCTCCCTTACATCCAAGATGTGATCTCGAGTCTCCTTTTTGGCCAAGCAAGACCTTCCCCCACCTCCCCTTCGATCAAGCCCAAGAAACTTCCCACTCACCCCTCCTTGCTAACAAAGCCGCCCCAGCAGGCAGGAAACGATCCCCTCCATCTAGACATCTCCGGCACCCAGTTGGCACACCCTCACCTCAGACCTCCCAGCCTCACCTTCTCCCTTTGAAGCTGGAGCCTGAGATTTAACCCCTTCTGGCCCTCAGAGGGAGCGGGGAAGACGAAAGACTACGCACCTCTTGCGTCTAGCAATTTTGTTCCCCAAGGAAACAAGAGCTTTAGAACGAAAGTACCAGCCCCCTCTCGGGAAGGCTGAATGAACTCTCCCCTACTTGTTGGTAGAAAAATCAGAAATATTGCCGCAACTGCTGCCACACCCTGCCTCTTTCTTGGGTGTAGGAGTAAGTGGGACAGAAAACCCGGCAGGAGGGGGTCTAGTCCCAGAGATACTACCGTGGGACACCGACACGTAAGACATTGTAGCTGCTACCAGAAATATCGATGAGACCTTACCTTAACCAGGAGGTTTAGACAAGAAATTCTTCCCACGACAAAAAAAAAATAAAAATAAAAATAAAAGGCATTTCTCTCCCATGGATTAGAGGCATCCTCCTATGCTCTGGTCCCAGCTGGCAAAGTACCACGAGCCTCGTCCTGACGCAGGGCTGAGGGCGGGGGCGGGGGGGACGGGGCGTGGAGGGCTCGGTGTTCTGCCCTTTGTGCCTGGTGCGCGTGCTGCCTGCGCGCCCGGGTCTGGAGAGTCCCAGCGCTCTGCCGCAGCGGAGCGGAGCGGAGGTGGAGGAGATGGCGTCCCAGCCGCCGCCTCCCCCGAAACCTTGGGAGACCCGCCGAATTCCGGGGGCCGGGCCGGGACCCGGACCCGGACCCGCTTTTCAGTGAGTATGGAATACTTTAAGCCGTGATTTGTGTGGGCCGGATCAGGGACTTTGGCAGGAGGCGGTTGAGGACGTTGTTGGGGGCGAGGTTCCCCTCCCCCCTCAACCAGACCCCAACCGGGACAGGGGTTGAGGTGCGGCCTTGGAGAGGGGCGTGCAGGGGAGTTTCGTCGTTTGACCACAGTTTCTGACCCGTTGGCTCTTGGTAACGACGTTCTCCAGGTAGCTCCTGGGTGCCTCTCAGAGTCCCGGATCTTGAAATAAAGGGGGCAGCTTCTGCCCCGTTCTGTTTGCGTGACACCTTGACAGTACCGCTTGACCCGCTTTAAAGCGATAGACTTTTGATCTGTAGCTGATGAGAGTGACGTTTGCCCAGCCCCGGCTCGATGGGGGACAAAGTCTCTCTGAAGCTTGGAACAGCTCCTTGAGGAGTTGGTGAAAGCACGGAAGGTCACTTTTACGCAGCTGGAACCTAACGAAGCCTAAATACGCTTTGCATTGTTTTCCAAAACTATGCAGCGAGCAAAGATTTGGAGAAGCAACTTTAAAGCGGGAGTTCTCAATCTAAGGCTTGTGGATGGCCTTTGTGTATAAGATAGTGTGGTTTTTCTAAGGCCTGCGTTTTTGTTTTTGTTTTAATCAGCATCAAATGGAGCTACAACTCAAAAAAAAGTTAACATAGATTAAAAGAATTTCATAGCCTTGTGTATTTTGTGTTGAGTGTATCTGGGCATCTTAACTCAGATGATGAGACTAGAATGTCACATAACCTAGTACATAAAAACTCCCAGCATACTGAGATATATTTCTCTGCTCTGAAATCTTGTAATCTTTTATTTAAACGCTCAGATGCTTGAACACAACAGCTCCTTAATTTAATAATGATAGATATTTAACAAGTAATAAGCTTTAATTATGTTGTAAAGCTGAGGTGACACTTTCTACTACCTTTTTTATGGTGATTTGACGTCTTAAAAATTTGAACTGTTCTTTGGTAGAGAGAGGTTTATTCTTGCATCTGTTACAGTTATGTTTATGTAAAATTAACCGTTTCCCACTCCTTCTTCATTGTGAATTATTTTAAACATGTAGAGACTGGTGGAGAATAAGATAATAAATACTTGTGTATGCATTTACTACCACCTTTAAGAAATAATATTTTGCAAGATTTGCCTCAGATTTTTTAAACGTTAAAATTAGAGAACGAATAAACTCTCCCATTTTTCTTTCCTGCAGTAACTACTGTTCCTATCTGGTGTTTAGTGTTTATATATATATATATGAATATATATTCATATATATGTTCATATATATTCATATATATGAACAAAATATGTTCATATATATGCAAACTATCATTTTGCAAAATGTTTCCACTAAATATTGAGGTTCATTTTGTTTATATATATAGCTGTAGTTCATTTTAATTGCTGTAGAATAGTCTATTATATAAAAAACAAACTGTTCTGTTGCAACTATTAGAGTATTAGTTGTTATATGTTAAAAACTGCTACAATGAACATTCTTGCTCCTTTCTCCTTGTCCATATTTCTTCAGAGTTTCCTAATGTGTTTCTAGTAGCAGAATTGCTTGGTGGAAGGGTATGCTTATCTTCAAATACTGACTATTGCCAAGTTGTTCCCCAGAATGGTTGTATATCAATTTTTACTATTCACCAGCAAGGTTTTTGGTTTTTCTGTGTTCTTTTCCAGCACTTGATACTGTGGGGGCGTAAAAAATAACTTTTCCTCGCACCTTTTTTAAATTATTCTGGCTGGGCTACTAATCTGATTAACAGAGACAAATTAACAGGAGAAAATGTATAAGTTATTACAGGTGTGCATGTAGGGATGCCATGAGAATATGAGACCCAAAGACACACTGGGCATTTAAGGTTTATATGCCGTTTTGGACTAGGGGGAAGAGGGAATAGTGGGTGTGGTTTGTTGGGGACTTTGAAGGGCAGGAAAACAATGGAGATGGAAAAGCAGATGTCTATCGCACACTAGTTTATATTAAACTGTAGTTATCAATGATGATATCTCCCTTCCTGGAGCAGATTCTGTCCTCTATCAAAATTCCTTTTAGGCAATTAGGGGGAAGATCAAAGTTTCTTTCTGAGTCTTTTGTTCCTTAATAACCAGCTTAAAATCAACATCCCAAAAGGCTTATTTGGGGATGGCAAAATTTTGGTTCCTCACAATATTTTTTTAGTATTGTATTTCCCAATCTAATGGTTGTGAAATGAAATGATATTTCATCTTTAATGTACACTTCTCTGATTAGTAATAAGATTATCTTTTTGAGTGTTTATTAGCCATCTGAATTTTTTCTGTTGATTTTTTTTTTTTGCCCACTTTTCTATTGGTTTTATTTTTGCTTATCAATTCGAAGGAGTACTTTATTATCCATACAAATCCTATTTTCTTTGTTTTTAATATCTTTCCATTTATAAATAAGGAGAAGGGACTAAACAAAGAACATGTATTAATAGCCCATGGACATGGACAACAGAGTGGGAATTGACTGTGGGAGATGGAAGCGGGGTAGGATGGGTAGAGGAGGGCAAAGGAGGAAAAATTGAGACAACTGTAATAAAATAAACAAGATTTAAAAATAAAAAAATGAAAAAATCTTTTCACTTACAGCTTATCTTTTTTATATTCATGGTTATTTTTGTTGCACAGATACTTTTAATTTTAACATAGACAAAATTTTCATATGGCTTGTGCTTTCTGTGTCTTAGTTAAGAAATTCTTTGCCGTCAAGTCAGGAAAAATTTTCTTTGTATTTTCTTTGAAATGTTCTGCTTTTCACACTTACATCTTTAATCCACCTGAAACTGACTATTTTGTACAAATTCATTGTGGAATAGGCAATCTAATTTCTTTCCATGTGGATAACTAATTGTCCCATACCATTTATTCATATATTCCATATCAGTTTATAATGCCGTCTATATCATATCAAGTTTTCCTGAATGTGTGGTTCTGTTTGGGGGACTTTCTGATGTATTCTGTTGGTCTGCCTACTCTTATACTAGCACCATACTGTCTTTATAATAAACTTTGATATTTGGTATGTCAAGAGCCTTCACACATTGCTGTTCTTCAAAATTGCCTATGTTACATTTAGCCTTTATTGAAAGACTTATTGAGTTTTTTGGGGAACTTTATATTTTATCAGAACTTGTATTTAATGATCAAGTAAGTATTACCATGTGTGAATATTGTACAAAGTACAGTTTGACCTTATTTGTCTTAAATAATGTTTTGCTATTGTCTCCATGAAGTCCTTTCTCATCTTTTGTAAGATAAAGATATTATATCCAGCATAATTCTGACTTAATTTGTTCTGATGATTTGGTTATAATTCTCTTATGTTCCATTTTGACAATCTTAATTACAAATAAGCCAACATAGACGGCCAACATCCTTTATTTTACTTAGTGTATCCTTCATTTCTGACTGGATCTTTTTTATGAGGTCCAGTGAGGTCTTTTGAGGTCCTCACCAAGTTCGCTGAGCATCCTTATAGCCAGCATTTCGAGCTCTGCATCTGATAGATTACTTATCTCCATTTTGTTTAGTTCTTTTTCTGGAGTTTTGATCTGTTCTTTCATTTGGGCCATGTTTTGTCTCCTTGTTTTGACAGCCTCCCTGTGTTTGTTTCTTTGTATTAGGTAGAGGTGCTATGACTCCGTCTTGGTAGGATTGCCTAATGCATAGGTGCCCTGTAGGCACAGCCTCCCCTAGTGCCCAAGCTGGATACTCAAGGTACATCCTTTATGTGGACTGAGTATACCCTTCTCTTGTAGTTGAGCCTTGATTACTCTTGGCAGGTCAGTGGGAGGGATTTACCCAGGCCAGTCAGCTGCAAGCACTGGCTTTGACCACTGACCACCAACCTCTGCCCTCCACAGAGGATCAGCTGTGCAGGGGCAGATGTGGCCTGTAGCTGTCCACTGGGTGCACAGGCTCTGGGATTTTCCAGGAGGTGCAGGCCAAGGTAAGCCCCAACCTGTGTTTTGCCCAGGGCCACCCTTCCTGAGCTATAAAGAAAGCAATTTGAGCTCTGGCTGGTGTGGCTCATAGATTGAGTGCTGGCCTGCGAATCAGAGGGTCGCGGGTTCGATTCCCAGTCAGGGCGCATGCCTAGGTTGTGGGCCAGGTCCCCGGTAGGGGGCGCACAAGAGTCAATAATTCAGTGATGTTTCTCTCCCTCTTTCTCCCTCCTCTTCTCTCTAAAAATAAATTTTAAAAAATATTTGTAAAAAAAGAAAAGAAAAAGGAAAGAAAGCAATCTGAGATGGCTGCTAATATGGCTGCTACTTGTGGTAGGCTTGGACATTCCCAGACAAAGCTAAACTGTGAATCTAGGCTGGCTGCTGCTATTGCTGGGCCTGGGGCCCCTTAGCAAGAGGTATGGGATGTTGGAGGCTCACTGAGGCTTGCTGTTGCTTGTTGGAGAGGATTTAGGAAGTTGTGAAGCCTGAGCGAAGACCAGCTATTCATATGGAAAAGCAGCTTGGGTGGGCCAGAGTCTCTGGGGATCTCCAGGGCATGGCAACAGTATCAGCCAAGCTGCTGGAGTCTCTGATATAGCACCAGCCTGCTGGCACTGTAGTTCTGTATGGGGAGGGCCCAGAAAAGGCACAATGGGCCCCCTTTCTGCCTGGGAGAAGGCTGTCCCCCAGCTCTTGCCTTGATGTCAGGCATTTCAGTTCCTCCCTTTATGCTACTGGTGCCTTTCAAGTTGCTTCCCAGATACTGGAGCTCAGGAGGAGTGAGTCTGAGTAAGTCCATGTGTGGGTTTTTTAAGAGGAACTGCTTGGGACTCCAGAAGTTTCTTTCACCAACTCAATCCCCACTGGGTTTTTTAAGCCAGAAGTTATGGGGGCTTCTCTTCCTGGTACTGGAACCCTGGGCTGGGGGGCCTGGTGTGGGGCTGGGACTCCTCACTCCTGAGATATCCCTCCCAAATTTTTATCCACCACATGTGGTTGTGGAACCAGTGAGTTCCATGTCTGTGCCCCTTCTACCAGTCTTGATGGATGTGGTTTCTTTAATTCCGTGCTTGTCAGATTTCCATTCAACCTGAGTGATGATTGTCCTATATTTTAGTTGTACTTTTGATGGTTGTATGAGGAGGTGAGCCATGTTTACCTGTGCCACCATTCTCACCTTCATTGGAATGCTTCTCAAGTCTCACAGCTAAGTATAATGTTTGATTTTTGTTTTTGATAGATTTCCTATTGAACTTCTACCTCTCTGCCTTTCTCAGAATTTTATTATAAAGAAATATTAAATTTTATAAGTAACTTATGCATCTATTGAGATCATCATATGTATTTTTAATATGAAAATGTGGTTCATTGTATCAGTTAACTTTCTACTTTTGCATCTTTGCATTTCTGGATGAACTCTGCTTAATTGTGATTATTTTGTAAAACACAGTGCTGGATTCTGTTCTGATATTTTAAGATCTTTACATATATGTTCCTAGGTGAACTTGGCCTATAATTAATTTTTGTACTGTCATATTTTTTTGGTTTTGTATCAAAGTTGTATAACTTACAATAGAAAATAGAAAAATTTCTATTTAGTCTAATTTTTATGCCTTTGTAGGTAGACTATCTTTTCCTTAGGAGCCATTAAGAGTTCACTTGATACTGTGGTCCTCTGCAGCTTGGTTATGCTCTGTCAGGGTGTGAATATGCAGAGAGAGAGAGAGAGAGAGAGAGAGAGACAGGGTGTGAATATGCAGAGACACACACACAGGGTGTGAATATGCAGAGAGAGAGAATCTCTCTCTCTCTCTCCCCCCTCCTGCTCAGAGCCCATAGTGTTCAGTCTGAGAATACATATCTCTCTTTAATTCAGGAAAATTCTTACCAGTTACATCTTTAAATATTGCTTGAGTACTTTTCCTTCCATCTTTCCTTCTGGAACTCCTATTAAATATTGTATCAGGGATAGTTTTTGCTATAAGTAACAATATCTAACTTCCTGTGCTTTGGCATTTCTTGTGTAGCTAACAAGTATAGAAATCTGTCAACTCAAAATTGTCATCAAGGGGTCTACATTTTTTCTGACTTACCCCTTTTTTTTCCTGTCAGCTTTCTACAGTTTTGGCCATCTCTGTGTTATTTTTTACTCCTTCCAAAAGAATCTCTTTTTCCTCTTGCTGCTTTCAAGATTTCTCTTCGTTTTTGGTTTTATAGAAGTTATGCTTTGCTGGACATCACTGTGGTTTTCTTTGTGTTGTTTTGGGTGGGATTTATAGAGATACTTGAATCTGACTTGATGTGTTTCATTAATTTTAGAAAAGTCTTATCCATTATCTCTTTTAAGTATTGCTTCTGGCCACCATTTTTTCACTCATTTAACTCCAATTATGTATATGTTCTGTATTTCACTATGTGCCCTACCTTCCACACCTTTTTTTGTATGTATACTTTTGTTGCTCATGCTTCATTCTGGGTGTTTACTTCTAAACTCTCTTCTGGTTCACTGATATTTTTCAAGGATGTCTAATCTGAAATTAAACAGTCATTGAGTTCATGGTTTAAGGTTTTTGTGGGGGTTTTTTTAGTTTTAGAATTTCCCTTTGGTTTTGCTTTATAGTTTTTATTCTCTGCTGAAAAATCTCTGTCTTGTCTATTTTCTTTGAATATATTGACCATAGTTGTTAAAAGTCTGACTAATAACTCCATTATCAGTATCCCCTGTGGATCTCTTTGTATTGTCTAATGTCGCTCTTTTCTTAAACATGTAATTTTGTCATCATATAGGCATAATTATTTTTTAATGAAAGCTGAACATTGTATATAATCAATTTAAAAAAATTTGAGGCCTAGGGTGGCATCTTCCTCCAATGAGTTACTTTTGACAGGCACCTTGGGCCACTTGCAATCTAGGATCATTTGAATCCAATCAAGAATTGAGCTTATTTGAAATTGTGGTTTCAACTCCTACCAGGACTAGTCTATTGCCTGTAATCCTATAATAACTATAAACTATAATAATTATGATAGTGTCAGATTATTCTTACCCTTACTACTAGCATACGTCCCTTTAAGGTCCTAGTCTAAAGTGTGGGAATTTATGTTGGCCCTCTTCTTTGAGAGTTCTGAACTCTAATTTTGTCTCTTTAGCTCAAGGAGTCTGTTGAAACCACTGCTAAGCTTCTCATCCTATCAGCCATTTCTTCCAGAATTGGCGCTTGTCCCTTGAGAGATATCTCAAAATGGACTCTCTGGGTTTTCTCTTTTTCATGGATCTTGGCTCCATAGTTCCTCAGTGCTTTAGTCTCACCTCTGCTTTAAATGATAATTTTATGTATTTTTCTATCTTTTCTGGTTGTTTTCAGTGCAGGAGTTAGTCTGATTACCAAAAATGCCATTACTTGAAGTAGAATTCCCCAAGTTCTGTATTTCCACTCTGTTCCTTAGTTTTTTGTTTTTTATTTTTTGTTTTTTGTTTTTTTTCTTGCCTCATAGTTGCAAGATAACTCCTGTGGTTGTGGACATTATGTCTAAGATTTGTACTGATTTTTTTTCATATTAACTTGTTTTTCATTTTAATTTTTTATTTCAAAGCTGTTATTGTTTCATTATCTCTTTGACCATCTTAAACATATTTAGAATCTTTGTTAAGCTGTTATATAAAATTACTTCTTCCTTGAATGAATTTTCATTTTTTTAAATCCTCATCTGAAGATATGCTTTTATTGATTTTAGAGAGAGAAGAAGGGAGAGAGAGAAACATCCATGTGAGAGAAAACTCAGTCGGTTGCCTCCTATATGTGCCCCAACTGGGGATCGAACTCACAACCTAGGCATGTGATGCTTCAACCACCTGAGCCACCTGGCCACAGCTACTCCTCAGTTCTTTATAAGGAGCCAGTTTAACCTTGATACCGAAATGTGACAAAGACAATAAAAGCAAATTAGGACATTATCACTTAGGAAAATAGATGCAAAAATATCTTTAACAAAACACCAACAAACCAAATCAGGACTATATCGTGGATCTTTGGTTTTACTTCAGGAATGTAGGTTGGCTTTAACATTTGAGAATTAATGTGATTTATCATATTAAGAGAATAAAGAAGAAAAATCATAATCATCTTGATACATGCTGAGAAATTATTTGATAAAGTTCAGTGTTTATTTGTGGTAAAAACTGTTAGCAGATAGAAATACAAAAGCAAGTACTAAATTTACAACAAACATAACTCATAACAGCGAGCTGTTGACAACTTTCCTTTGAGATCAGGAATGAGACGAGGGTGCCTGCCATCATTACTATTGAAGATTATACTGCGTGTCCTAGTATGCAAGACTAAGAATTGAAGAAGAAATAAATCTTATCAATATTCACATACAATAGGACTGTAAATTCTTAAGATTCTAGAAAATCCAAGAGAAGAATCCAAAACAAGGTTAATGGATACAAGGACCATATTTTTTTAATCAGTTATTTCTACATAACAGTAACAAAGTGAAATTTTAGAAACACAACATCTACCAAAAAATAAAAAAAAAAATAAAAAGCTCCATATAATAAACTACAAAACATTACTTAGAGTTAATATAGTTATTTTTAAAAACCATTTTTGAGAAAAATCTTGTAAAAGACCTAAATAAATGGAACACATATTGTATTTGTGGGTTGAAACTCTCAATATTATAAAGATGTCAATTACCTCAAATTAATCTGCAAATTCAATGTAATCCCAAACAGAATCTTAATATAGTTTTGGTGGGGAGAAAGGGTTATAGAATGTTAAGCTCTGATTCTAAAGTGTATATGGAAATTCAAAGGGTCAAACAGCCAAAGCACTCTTGAAGATGAAGAACATTGTGGGAGAACTTGTTTTACTGGATACTAAGATCTATCATAAAGCTATAATAATTATGATAGTGTCAGTTAGGTACAAGGATGGACAAATATCTAGCAATGAACTCTGAGAAAATGGACAGGTATCTTAAAAAGACACTGTAGACTAAAGATAGTACTAACAATGCCAGCATAATTAAACTAGAAAATAGAGTTCGTTGAGCTGTTTTATCTTACGCATTTTTCTCTTAACACTGAGCTTCTAACCAACTGGGTATTACAAATTATTTCTTACTCTTAACATATTTTCAGTAGAATCTCATTACACTAGGTATAGGAAGTATTTAATAGTTAACTTTGAATTAAATCTATTGTGTTTTAAGTTACTGTTTTGAATCTTTTTTGGTTCAGATCTGCTGATTTGGGTCCTACTTTATTGACAAGACCTGGACAACCTGCGCTGACCAGAGTGCCCCCGCCTGTCCTTCCAAGGCCGTCACAGCAGACGGGAAGTAGTGTGAACACTTTCAGACCTGCTTACAGCTCCTTTTCTTCAGGATATGGTGCCTATGGAAATTCGTTTTACGGAAGCTATAGCCCTTATAGTTACGGATATAATGGGCTAGGCTATAACCGCCTCCGTGTAGATGATCTTCCGCCCAGTAGATTCGTTCAGCAAGCTGAAGAAAGCAGCAGAGGTGCATTTCAGTCCATTGAAAGTATTGTGCACGCATTTGCCTCTGTCAGTATGATGATGGATGCTACCTTTTCAGCTGTGTATAACAGTTTTAGGGCTGTATTGGATGTAGCAAATCATTTTTCCCGATTAAAAATACACTTCACAAAGGTTTTTTCAGCTTTTGCATTAGTTAGGACTATAAGGTATCTTTACAGACGGTTACAGAGGATGCTAGGTTTAAGAAGAGGCTCTGAGAATGAGGACCTATGGGCAGAAAGTGAAGGAACTGTGGCTTGCCTTGGTGCCGAGGACAGAGCAGCTAACTCAGCAAAATCTTGGCCAATATTCTTGTTCTTTGCTGTTATCCTTGGTGGTCCTTACCTCATCTGGAAACTGCTCTCTACCAACAGCGATGAAATAACAGGTAAGAGTAAGAGAATGGATTCAAAAACCACGTAACAATCTCACATATTAAGAACAGATTTGTTAAATTAGCATACTTTATGTTTATTTATATTTAATTTTGATCCAGTTATATTTTTAGTTAAGAAATTCAAAACTGGAAGAGAAATATGTAGCAGAAACAGGCTTCTTGATTTATTCATTGTTCATTCAATGTAATAGTACACATTACCTAACTACTGTTTACAAGGTACTGAACTTGATGCTACAGAGTATATAAAGCTACATAGGATGTAATCCCCCTGTTTTTCTAAAACTTACTGGCAGGGAGGTGGGTAAGACACATATACAGGTAATTATAATGATGCAGGAAGAATGATAAGGAATATGATAGTTATAGAAAGAGAAGGTTTACTGAGCCTTTTTTATATGCAAGACACTGTTAGGTACTTTGTAGTATTTTATGTCATTTAATTCTTAAAATCACCCTAGAGATAGAAATAATCTTCATTTTACAAGTGACAGAACTAATGTTTGGAGAAGTCACTTGCCCAAGGTCACATCTTTAATAAGGTAGAACCAAAAACAAAACCAAGCCTGTGTGTTAAGTTCCTACTCCATCAACTGGTACAGAGTACTATCTCAATTTAGAAAAATAAAGCTTTTTTTTGGCTATTGGTATATAAGAAGTGGCATTTAAGTTAAATTTTTGAAGGACAGGTATCAGCCTGAACAAAAGTACATAGGCAGGAAATTAATTTGTTCAGCAGCTGTCCTACAGTGTAGAATAAACGGATAATAAATAAGGCTGAGAAATGAGGTTGAAGGCTAATAATGGAAGAATTTAATCTTCATTTAGTAAGGAAAGGATTTGTGTGTGTGTGTGCGCGCGCGTGTGTTTAAGCAGATTAATGATGTGTGTGTGTATACAGTGTTCTTTTTTAAAAATTGATTTTTAGAGGAAGAGAGGGGAAAGAAAAACATAGATTTATTGTTCCACCTGTTTATGCACTCATTGGTTGATTCTTGTATGTGGTCTGACTGGGGACCAAACCTGCAACCTTGGCATATTGGGTTGATGCTCTAACCAACTGAGCTACGTGGCCAGGGCATATAAACATTATTCTAAAGAGGTCAGTCTGTCTCAAGTGTTTAAGATAGATCAGTACGGGTTAAAACAAGTTGAAATTGGTTGGAAAGATTCATAAAGAATTTTGAGTTATGTTTACTTTTATATTCCCATAAGCCAACAACCTGCTTGGCACTAGAAGGTACTTAATAAGTGTTTATTAATTTGGGGATATGAGTTATGATGCTTTTGCAATTGACTGGATGAGAAGTAATGAAGGCTTGAATTAGGGTGTGTTGAAGGCAGGATTCAACAGATTTAGTTACTGACTGGCTAGATGTGGCACACAAAGGGAAAGGAGAAATCAAAATGCCCTAGACCCTTAAATTTTGGTTATTAGACAAATGTTTCATCAATTCAATAAATATTTTTTGAGGACTACTATGTTCTAGGAGTGTGGGATATAGTAGTGAATAAAACATTAAAAAAAAAAATGCCTGCCCTTCTGACTATCCAGGGAAGACGGCAATAAGCCAAGAAAATATATACAGTTGACCTTTGAACAGCACAGATTTGAACTTTGGGGTCCATTATATGCTGGGGGGTTTTTTTCAATGAATACAGACAGCCCTTCATATATGTAGGTTTTGAATCCGCGGATTCAACCAGCCATGGGTCGAAAACAGTATTTTTGCATTTCTAGCTAAGGATGATACAAAGGGCTGACTCTAGAGTCACAAGATACACATGGACTTCAGACTGCACAGGCAGGGGTTGGGGGTGTTCGGCACTCCTAACCGCTGCATTGTTCAAGGGTCACCAGTAGAAGTCAGAAGGTGGTAAGTGCCATTGGAAAATAAATAAATAAATAAGCAGGGAAGAGTGTTGCACAACCAGGGTTAGGAAGTGAGGTTACAATGTTCCACCAGTCTGGGAACAGCAAAAGTGCAAAGTACTTAAGTGGTAGTGTGCCTGGCATGTCGTGTGAACAGCAAGGAGGCCCGTGGGAAAGGAACAAAGTCTGAGTAGCAGGAAATGAAGGAGGAAGAGTACTGGGTTTGGGACATCCCTACAAGTGCAAAGGAAATTTCTATTATTTCAAAGTCCATTGAACCATGCAATTGAGAAGTTTCTACTTAATGTTCATTTGGAAGTGATTAATTTCTCATGTAATGAGATAATAAAAGTTAATTCAAATGAATTTAACAGAATTCTAGCCTATTCCTGTTCTTATGAATGAATATGCTCAGTTAAAATCACAAGTTCATTGGATCGTTATCAGAATTTGCTAGTACCTGTCTGTGTGAAAAAAAAATTTCAAAGATGAAGTACCTCAAATCTCTATGAATGAGCATTAATAGATGAATATTTGCACTTGATATGATAGGAAACACTGCCTTTGAACCCCACAGTAGTGTCCTACCCCCAAAATTCCATTCTTCTCAGTAGTGGACCTGTATTATTTTTTAAAACCTCAATTTTTATTACATTTTGAGTTTTGTCAAAAAATTTAGAGAAAAAGTTATTTCTCACACTATAAGTAACTATAGTATCTTCAGTTTGCCTCATGACCAGCAGAGCCTAAAATATTTACTATCTGACCCTTTATAGAAAAAAATTTGCCAAACTTGGCTTACAGGAAGGGAGCTAGAATTTTGAGCTTGAAGAAAAGGGAAATGTTCATAATAGATACCCTAGTGAACATGCTGTTGATTTCACATCATGTTAGTTACAGAATTTACTTTAGGCGGAGACTTCTTGGCAAATAAATTTATGCAGTTTGGAAACCATAGCCAGTAAAGTATCTTCTTTTTTTTTGGATTTTTTTTTTTTTTTTGGTAAATTTTACAAACATAATCTTAATTCTTAATTTGGTTTATAGACAACAACAACTGGGCAAGTGGTGAGGATGACCATGTAGTTGCTAGAGCAGAATATGATTTTGCTGCTGTATCTGAAGAAGAGATTTCTTTCCGTGCTGGTGATATGCTAAACTTAGCTCTCAAAGGTAACAAAATATTAATAAATTGAAATTATCTGTGAATTTTTAGTATTTGTAAGTATAGTATTAAAAACTGCAACAAGGGGTATTGGTTATTGTTAGTCAACTCAAAGTATTTACTAGGGTTTCTCTTTTCATGTCTATTTAGAACTTTCAGATGGGGGTGGTGAAGAAGAAATACCCCAACAAAATTGTCCCAATAATATTTCACTGAGATAAGGAGTTTGTTTATTTAATCTCTTCTAAACCCAAAACACTTGAATTCCAAACTCTGTTAATTCCTGCACAAAAACATGAAGTAAACACTAAATATAACAAATCTAACAAACCAATGAAATTATCTAGTGTCATTTAAATATCCATTTCCTTCTTTGATTGCTGGTGCTGTTATTGCTCTCTTTTTTACTTGAATAATGTTTACTTCAGAAACTTCAACTTGAATAATTAGGAATTACAGCCATGAAGTATTTGGACCAGATCGCTAACAGTTTTTAATTGCTCTGGGCAAAGTGGCCTTTTTCTTCAGTTATCCCCAGTATTGATGAATATTTGTTGATTTCCAAAAAAAAAAGATCTTTTGTGTGTTTGCTACAAAAAGTCACATTGTTGGCAAAGATACTAGCAATAATAATAATGCTATGAAGTGTGAACTGTTATTATTTTGTCCCTGCATTACACATGAGAAAACTTAAGACTTAGAATTCTGAATAAATTGTCCAGTATCACAAAACTAAGATGTAATGGAGCTGGACTTTGAACCTAGGTTTATTTGACTTTGGAACCTGTACTTTTAAACACTTTGTTTTCTGTGTGATCTATTAGTAGGAGCTTTAGCCTTTAATTGTTTTTAGTCACTTTACATAAAGAAAAAAAATGCCATCAATGTTCAAATCATTAGTTTAATGTGTAAATAATGAAAAATGTTGGGTCAGATTTGCTAAATCTCTGCCACATCCCCTCATACACAAAATCTCGGCTTCCAGGTTTTCCTTCTAGTGAAAATCGTACCTTAGTATTTTGGATCTCAAAAGAATGATTTCTTTATAAGATTTATTGTTAGAGATAGTACCAATATAGATAATTAATTTTAATTAATCTAAATAAAGAATAAAGAAGGTTTCTTTCAATTATGTTATAATAATTTAGGAAAATGTTGTATCTTAGGTTATTTTTTTCCTAGTATTGTCTCTTAACACTTTGGCTTTGCTTCTTTGCTTTCTTCCATTGCTCAAGTAAAGTATGTTTGCACATTTAGAACAAAATCAGTCACAGATATGGTTAATTTGTTTTATATTTTTATAGCACATTAAACATTAAAATGTCATTGTACCTAAACTATAATGTTGAACTAAACTCTTAACAGTTCAACAGCGTTTAAAAGACATGGATAAAATAGGTGGGAGAATACCAAAATACAAAATTGAATATATTAAATAATATTTCCTACTTTAAGTTTAGGTTATTGCCTTTTAACATTTTGTCCTATGACTGAGATAAGTCTTCATTTTTGCCCATCTTGAATTAAAGTTAACATTCACTGTCTCCAGGACTGTTCATCACAATCACATAGGATAAATTTTATATTTTGGCTAAAAGTATGTAAAGAAACCTGGCTTATGTGAAGGTATATATTTTCTGTACTTATCCCTGACTTATCCTATTCAGAAGGACTGAGAGATTCATTTCTCAAATTCCAATTTAAAATCTGGAAAATATTGATGTTAGTTTTCAGCTTTTGGGATGCTGAATCTCCTTACTCTATGAATGGACCAACTGATACAAACTTTATGTTCTTCAAGGTTGAAAAAATATTTACTAAGTATAAAATGTATAAATTGTAAGAAGGGACCCTAGAACTATTAAGCATGTCATTATTTGATATTGAATATATCTATATATACTATTTGTTTATATAGTTTATCATATATAGTTGTAACACAGGTTTTACTTACTATTTTACTATCAATATTCTGTTGAATCTCCAAAGTATGTTATAATTACAAGGCTGTCTTTTCTTTCATCAGAACAGCAACCCAGAGTGCGTGGTTGGCTTCTGGCTAGTCTTGATGGTCAAACAACAGGACTTATACCTGCTAATTATGTCAAAATTCTTGGTAAAAGAAGAGGTAGAAAGACACTGGAATCCAGTAAAATTTCCGTGCAGCAACAATCTTTGACCAGCACAACGCTAATTAAAGGAGCCACAGCTGCTGATTCTTTGGATGAACAGGAAGCTGCCTTTGAATCTGTTTTTGTTGAAACTAGTAAGGTTCCAGTTTCACCTGATTCCACAGGGAAAAATGGAGATAAACAAGATCTTTGATATGTTTCATGTTTGCCTGCAGTTGAACTGTAGAGTACTTTTTAAAAATTACTTCTTACAAAGAAATTATTCTACAATCTAATGAACACATTTATTAATTGCTATTGCAGGTGTTTTGCTGCTAGAAATTGTTAAAGTTGTACACTAGTATGTTGGTCTAGTGACCTGGTTTCATACTACAAGTGACTGGACCACAAGGATGTTTGTTTCACCTAGATTTTAAGATTATGGAAACTGGTATCACTTTCATCTTATTTAAAACCCTATGTTCATTGAAGGAGTAAGAGTAATGAACTACAGAATATACTCTTTGCTACAGTAGCGATTACTAGTGTTTTTTTAAAAGTCTGCATTACTTGCATTGGAATCCTCAGAAATTTAGTGCTAAAATATAAGAAGAGGAGCAAAGGCTAATATTTTTTTTACAACTTACATTGAATAATAAAAATTTTCTGATCTGCATTACATTCAGTCTTGGGTTTGTTTTAGGCAATAATATGTTTTTGCCCACTATCAATTGGTACCATCATCTTTTATTGTATTTTTAAAAATATATCTTGAAAAGGTTGCTAGAAGCACTGTGAAGGAGATGGTTCTAGAGTGATATTTAGCCCTATTAGTTTTTTCCCTGCTAATAAAAAGGCTGACATTTATCTTTCTTACAGATTATTTCCATTTCTTCTGAGGATCAAAGAACTTTTTTCCTTTGGAACATGACTAGTTTTCATCCTGTAAGAATCAGGATATAGGAAAGATTTCCTTCCTTTTTCTCCAACCAGGACTCAAGTCCTTTGAGTTTGTGCTTAATGATGTAATCAATTCTAGCAGTAATGATTAAAGTCTTTCCATAGAGTCTCTGCTTCTGATGTGTATAATTACTTTTAGAAGTTCATATTCAGGCTGTTCATTGAAAATACACATTTTTTTGGTTTAGTTTTTACTACTTACCTGAATTGCCATTTAGCATATGATAATGCTATGTGACTTGTTTTTTGTTTAATAAAAACTTTAAATGCATTTAAATTTCAGTACACTGAATATTTCCAAACAGAATTGGAAAATTTGTATACTTGCTGTAACCATACTATGAAATAATACTGTCTGGAATACAGGTGTAGAAGAATGTATTCACAGACATCCTGAAAACTTGCAATTTTTTATAACGATTTTGATTTAATATTTTTATCTTTTTATAGATTTATGTTGACCAAATAAATAATTCTAGAACAAGTCAGGCTAAACTATGTACTCAGCATAGAACTTTACTGAAGGCTTCTTGGAAACCTCTCTTTTGAAATAACAGTATAATAAGTAATATATTATTTAAAATACAAAGGTTGACCCTGTACAGGAAAAAAGTGAAAAATAGCAAAATTTATGTATTTTAAGTCTGTTTTCTAATACCCAGGTTGCGATGAAGTTTCTTGTATATTATTTTCCATTTTTGTTCTATAGTTAGAGGTTCTGCTTTGTTTTGTTACAGAGTAACCTATAGAAATTTGTTCTTGAAACAAATTTTTAAACTTGGTGTTGAGACATCTAAGTTGAATGCTAAGTGAAGTGTATAGGTGAAATGTTGAGTCAGTTCTATTTAAGTTAGAAAAGGTAAGTCTTTACAATAGAATTTGTAACTGGTATTAAAGATATATAGGGAGAAGAGTATAGCACAGAATGAATAACAAGAATAATTTCTTTCCTTAGGCTGTTTATTTTTCCGTTAAGTATGCTAAATTGCAATACATATTTTCTGACTGGTAATTCTTTGTGTCTGAAAATTCCTTTTAAAATTCTAGAAAAGGAATTTGGGACTAGAATAAGAGGAATTTTGTAATCTTTATTCTAGTTTTGCTATACTTTTTTTAGATGATATGAAATATAATGTCCAAGGGTTCAATATTGTTATTTTTAAAACTTACTTAAGAAGGTACTGCTTTACAGAAATTACTAACTGAAACCAAAACATTTTCAATTAAAATAATAAATCACAAATTAAAATAAGAAAACAGGTTTTATTTTCAAGTTTTTTCTGATTTTATTTTGTCACTTTAGAAAGGAAAAAGAGGACTGTAAATTTTCATGTTTTTAACATTTGACTTATACACATATACTTAGTCTGTCAGTGTGTCATAATTATACATTTGCTTGAATATAACTGTCCTTTATCTTGTGCTTTAATGGAAAAAAAAGAACAAATTGAATGCAGTTAAATTTTATTTTTAAAAGTTACTCTTACTGGACAAATAAAAATACACTAAACTTGATTGACATTCTTTGAAGATAAATTGTTAACTCTTTTTGCAGGATTGGAATTGATATAAAAAGTTTCTTCTTCATATCATTGGGCATATTAACTACTGCAAACTAATGTGTCTGTTCTATTTCTTTGTGAAAGAAAAATATTAAATTTACATTTATATATAAATTATCAAGAAGATGAGTTAAATAAGAATAAGGCCACAAATCTAGGTTTTGGATTCTAATCCAAAATCTACCACTACTACTTACTATAAGATTTAATTCACATTATTTTTTAGTTTCCTCATTAATAATGTTGGGCATAGCTGCTATATCTGCCTCACATGAGAGTGCTTTTTTTTCCTCACAAGTAGGATTTTTTATTTGTCACCATTAAGTCTGAATTTTAAACAGTTTCTTGGACTGGGGGCTCATTATCCATCAGCTTGTTCAACTTTAGCACTTGTCTCATCCCCAGTAGCTTTTCCAGACTGCTACTTTCATCGTGAAGTTCTGTGAGTTTTCCCAGTTCAAACTTGGGCTTCTTTAGCATTTTGACTTTTCTAACAAAGACATGATGGAATGGATAAATAGATTGGCAAGCCTTTTCTGTGTCTTCTCCAATGCTATCTGGAATCAATTTACTGACCACTTCTTTCACGTCATTTGTCTGTACCTCTCAGGTAATAATTTCCTAATCTTTTTCCAAATTTGGCAGACCTGTTGATGCTAAACATAAGAGGTTTTCAGAATCAGAATCTGTTGCGTTTTTTAGTAAAAGCAACACAGAATTGACGAAGCAAATAACAATTGGTAGTCTTGACATCAACATGAGCTTCAATCATGACCTACCATTTTTTGACCAGGGAGCACAATTTGTCATGGGTAAAATCCATGCCATGGAAATTAGGCAGTGTTTGCCCTGAATGTCATCAGTAATTAGCTTGGACTTTCTACATGCAACTTCATCATTCTGCAGATCAGCTAGACTTACCTCAAAAACACAACCCTTGAGACCATCACATGTGATTTTTGTTTCTTGAGTTATTGTGACTAGTGTTTTTCCAATATTTCTCATATTGAACATAGCTGGTACTTTCACATCATACCAATCTTTCATAGAAAATGGGTCGACCACTCCTGGCTGTTGTGGTTCAGTGGATTGAGCCCTGGCCTGCAAACCAAATGGTTGCTAGTTTGATTCACAGTTAGGACATAAGCTTGGGTTGCAGGCCAAGTCCCCATTAGGGGCGCGTGAGAGGCAAGCACACATCGATGTTTTTCTCCCTTTCTTTATCCCTCTCTTCCCCTCTGTCTAAAAATAAATAAATTTTTTAAAAAAGAAAATGGGTAGGCCAGTTTCTTCTTGGATTTTGTGAGGTGCTTCTTGTTGACAACCACCATGTGCTGTTCAGATTGCCAAAAGGGAGGAAGTTGAGAGTGCTTTTTAAAAATATAAAGCATAATCAAAAGTAAGATGTTATAGTAGTTGCATGTTTTATAAATGTAGAGTTCCAACCAAGATGGAGGGGTAGGTAGACAATGCTCTGCTTCCTCGCACAACCAAAAGGACAACTTCCAACTTAAAAACAAAAAACAACCTGAAATGCCAGAAAATAAAATTGTATGGATATCTGACAACCAAGGAGTTAAAGAAGAAACATTCATCCAGACTGGTAGGAGGGGTGGAGAGGATGCACAGCAAGGTGGCAGCTGGCAGACCAGGCAGCCCCATATTCACATGCAGATAAACCAGGAGGAACAACTAGGGATGAGACAGAACATGCAATCCATGGTTCCAGTGCATGAAAATAAAGCCTCAAAACCTCTGGCAGTGAAAACCTGTAGGCGTTGCAGTGGTGGGAGAAACTCCCAGTCTCACAGGAGAGTCTCTTGGAGGAACCCACAGGGTCCTATATTGTACACAAACCCACCCACCTGGGAATCAGCATCAGAAGTGCCCAATTTACTTGTGGGTATTGGGGAAAGTAACAAAGTGGTGTGAGAGCTGAGCAAGCAGAATTGTTCCCTCTCTAACCCCTCCCCAACATATAGCACCACAGTGCAGCAAAGTGGGTTGCCCTACCCTGATAAATACCTAAGGCCCCAACCCTTAAAATGTAACAGGTGCATTGAAGCAAATACTGCCCAAAGAACAGATCAAAACTCTAGAAAAAGAACTAAGCAATGAAGAGAGAGCCAACCTATCAGATGCAGAGTTAAAAGCACTGGTAATCAGGATGCTCACAGAAATGATTGAGTACAGACACACAATAAAGGAAGTGAAGGGTATACAAAGTGAAATAAAGAAAAATATACAGGGAATCACCAGTGAAGGGAAGGAAACCAGTACTCAATGATTTGGAACAAAAGGAGGAAATAAATATTGAACCAGAATAGAATGAAGAAACAAGAATGAAGAAAAATGAGGAGAGGCTTAGGAACCTCTTAGACAACTTTAAACATTCCAACATCCGAATCAAAGGGGTGCCAGAAGGAAAAGAGGAAGAGCAAGAAATTGAAAATGTATTTGACCAAATACGGAAAAGTTCCCCAATCTGGCAAAGGAAATAGACATGCAAGTCCAGGAAGCTCAGAGAGACCCAAAGAGGATGGACCCAAGGAGGAACACACCAAGATGCACAATGAAATTACCCAAGATTAAAGATAAGGAGAGAACCTTAAATGTGGCAAGATGAAAGGAGAGAATTGCCTACAAAGGAGTTCCCATAGGACAATCAGCAATTTCTCCAAAGAAAACTTACCAGCAAGAAGGGGCTAGAAAGAAGTATTCAAAGTCACAAAAGCCAAAGACCTAACATCCAAGATTACTCTATCCAGCAAAGCTATCATTTAGAATGGAAGGGCAGATAAAGTGCTTCCCAGATAAGGTAAAGTTAAAGGAGTTCATCATCACCAAGCCCTTATTATATGAAATGTTAAAGGGACTTACCTAAGAAAAAGAAGATCAAAATTACAAAGAGTAAAATGACAACAAACATTACTATCAACTGAACCTAAAAAACAAACTAAGCAAACAACTAGAATAGGAATAGAATCACAGAAATGGAGGTCAACTTTTTTTGGAGGGTTATGGGGTGAAGAGTTGAGAGTGGGGAGAATGGGGGAAAAGGTACAGGGAATGAGCATAATTGGTAGGCACAAAATAGGGGGAGGTTAAGAATAGTATAGGAGGGGGTTACTGTGTTCTCTCTCACTGTTGCTGCTCAGGGGAGTGGTCTACCTGAGCAAGATGGCTGCTGCCACATGGGGAATGAGTCAGCACCAGGATCCTGCCAGCCACTCAGGTCTCTCCCCAAAGCCTCCTTCTCAAGTCTCTCCTCAGGTGTCTCTAGCCCACTCTGCCCCCACCTTTGCCAGAGACCAGGCCAGCAAGACACGAAGACCCTCAGTCCAGCAGACCTTGAGGAGCAGAATTATGCCAATAAACCTGTAAGCTTGTAAGTGGATCTGTCTCCAGACACACTCAGGCTGGGCCAACATCTACAAGGAAGTTCCTTGACTCTTTGCTGCTGTCTTGAGGATCCTGGAGAGCAACAGGACCCAGAGTTGTCCACGCTGATATTTACGATGTTTACAATGGAGAAGACAATCACTGCCAAATGGCATCAAATCACAGCCAGACCCCAGAACCCAAAATTGGCCAGCTGCCAGAATTGCCCAGTCATTCATTAATCTCAAAATAATGTAACCTGCATTTTACACATTAGCATTTCTGGATCCCTCTTATTTCTTTTTGATTTCCCCCCAGTATTTATGACTGACTTAGTGCTGATGGCCTCTGAATAGACCAGATACTGTCCTTTCTCCTCCTGAGCATAGGAGACTGAACCCCAGCCTTTCTCATCTTTCCTTCTGCTCATGGATCTATGAATCAAGAGACCCAATGCCAACTTCCATTGTCTGATTCCAATGTCTGATTCCAGAAAGAACAAGGAGAAATAACAAGGATCTGCCTTCTCCTTACCTGAGCATGTCATTCCTGGGAAGATCTGCCTGCTCTTCCAGGACCACAAACAATGTTAGACACAAGACAAGGTGGCAAGCTCTGCTGGAAATCAATGAGCTGGTGAGAGACCCAGAGTGGGGCTGAGCAAATCCAAGGACAGGTGCAAATGCTAATGCTGAAGCATTCCTCCCACTCCCTCTCTAGAGATTTCACACCTTGCATTATCTCTGCCAAGCTATTCATGTAGCTGTTCCACCCTTGGCATCAGGTAGTTTTCTCCTGGCAACACAATGAGTGCAAATAATAGAGCAGGTGTGACAGCATTTTCTAAACCCTTAAGTCCGATGCTAAGGAATGCATTAGCTGCCTCAGCTGTCATTCTGCCATCGTCATTACCCCCCACCTCCACGGGGATGGAATGCCGTGTTGGGTTTACAACTGTAGGCTCTGGACTCAAACTCTCTGAGCTTGAAGCCCAGCATTTTGGGCTCAGCTTTTGTTAATCCAGGCTCCCTCACCTGCAAAATGAAGGAATAAGAATCAACCTCATAGACTGTTGTAAGGATTAAATGAAAAAAAAATTCATAGAGCAGTATTGTGAACAAAGTATTCAGTAAATGCTAGTTATTATTCCTCTAGCAAACAGAGCTGGATGCTGACTTTTCTTTGGTCTCTTTCCCTTTATGCTTTCTTTTCAACATGGTGAGTTAACACTATCACCTAGATGGCAATGTTCTTGCTAAAGGCTAGAATGAGGTTTATGATTAGGACTTGTAACAAAACAACAAAAAAAGATAA